GGGATACAGGAAGGTACAGAGCTCCAAACCAAAGGAATGAGCAGTCTATTCAATGAAATAATACAAGAAAACTTCCCAGACTTGAAGAATGAGACAGAATCCCAAATCCTAGAAGCCTACAGGACGCCGAATGTGCAAAATCATAAGAGATCCACACCTAGACACATTATAATGAAGATGCCCAACATACAGAATAAGGAGAGAATTTTAAAAGCTACAAGAGAAAGGAAGCAGATTACATTTAGGGGCAAGCCAATCAGGATAACAGCTGATCTTTCAACACAGACTCTGAAAGCTAGAAGATCCTGGAATAACATATTTCAAACACTGAAAGAAAATGGGTTCCAACCAAGAATTGTGTATCCAGCGAAATTAAGCTTCAGGATGGAGAATGAAATTAAAACCTTCCACGATAAACAAAAGTTTAAAGAATTCGCAGCTAGAAAACCATCTCTTCAAAACATCCTAGCCAAAGTATTACAGGAAGAGGAAATGGAAAATAACAATGAAAACCAACAGTGGGAGGTAGGACAGTAAAGGGGGGGGGGAAACAATCAAAGAGGAAAACAAACAATGTTTAGTAACAGAAATAAACAAATATGGCTGGAAGAACAACCCATATCTCAATAATAACCCTAAATGTTAATGGCTTAAACTCACCAATTAAGAGACACAGGCTAGTAGAATGGATCACAAAACAAGACCCAACAATATGCTGCCTACAGGAGACGCATTTGATAGGAAAAGACATACATAGGCTGAAGGTGAAAGGTTGGGAAAAATCATATCACTCATATGGACTTCGGAAACAAGCAGGCGTGTCCATACTCATATCAAATAAAATAGATTTCAAGCCAAAGTTAATCAAAAGAGATAAAGAGGGACACTACATACTGCTTAAGGGAACCATACACCAACAAGACATAACAATCATAAATATTTATGCCCCAAACAATGGTGCAGCTATGTTCGTCAAACAAACTCTTCTCAAGTTCAAGAGTCTAATAGACCACCACACCATAATCATGGGAGACTTCAACACACCTCTCTCGCCACTGGACAGATCTTCCAAACAAAAGTTGAATAAGGAAACTATAGAACTCAATAACACAATTAATAACCTAGACCTAATTGACATATATAGAGTATACCACCCAACATCAAGCAGTTACACTTTTTTCTCAGCAGCACATGGATCCTTCTCAAAAATAGATCATATATTATGTCACAGGGCAACTCTTAGACAATATAAAGGAGTAGAGATATTACCATGCATCTTATCTGATCATAATGGAATGAAACTGAAAATCAACGATAAAAGAAGGAAGGAAAAAGCATACATCAATTGGAGAATGAACAATAGGTTACTGAATGATCAATGGGTTATAGAAGACATCAAGGAGGAAATTAAAAAATTCTTAGAGATAAATGAAAACACAGACACAACATATCGGAATCTATGGGACACATTGAAAGCAGTTCTAAGAGGAAAATTCATTGCTTGGAGTTCATTCCTTAAAAAAAGAAAAAACCAACAAATAAATGATCTCATACTTCATCTCAAAATCCTTGAAAAAGAAGAGCAAAACAACAGCAAAAGAAGTAGAAGGCAAGAAATAATTAAAATCAGAGCTGAAATTAATGAAATCGAAACAAAAGAAACAATTGAAAAAATTGACAAAACTAAAAGTTGGTTCTTTGAAAAAATAAACAAAATCGACAGACCCTTAGCGATGCTAGTGAAGAGAAGAAGAGAGAGAACTCAAATTACTAGCATACGGGATGAAAAAGGAAATATCACAACAGACACTTCAGAAATACAGAAGATAATCAAAAACTATTTTAAATCCTTATACTCCAATAAATTAGAAGATAGTGAAGGCATAGATAAATTTCTTAAGTCATATGATCTGCCCAGATTGAGTCAGGAGGATATAGAAAACCTAAACAGACCAATATCAATTGAGGAGATAGAAGAAACCATAAAAAGACTACCAACTAAGAAAAGCCCAGGTCCCGATGGGTATACAGCAGAATTTTACAAAACCTTTAAAGAAGAACTAATACCAATACTTTTCAAGCTACTTCAGGAAATAGAAAAGGAGGGAGAACTTCCAAATTCATTCTATGAGGCCAACATCACCCTGATACCTAAACCAGACAAAGACACTTCAAAGAAAGAAAACTACAGACCAATATCTCTAATGAACCTAGATGCAAAAATCCTCAATAAAATTCTGGCCACTCGGATACAAAAACATATAAAAAAAATTGTACACCATGATCAAGTAGGATTCATCCCTGGGATGCAAGGCTGGTTCAATATACGGAAATCAATAAATGTTATTCACCACATCAATAGACTTAAAAATAAGAACCATATGATCATCTCGATAGATGCGGAAAAAGCATTCGACAAAGTACAGCATCCCTTTTTGTTCAAAACTCTAGAAAAACTAGGGATAACAGGAACATACCTCAATATTGTAAAAGCAATCTATGCTAAGCCTCAGGCTAGCATCATTCTGAATGGAGAAAAACTGAAGGCATTCCCTCTAAAATCTGGAACAAGACAGGGATGCCCTCTCTCTCCACTTCTCTTCAACATAGTTCTCGAAACACTGGCCAGAGCAATTAGACAGACGAAAGAAATTAAAGGCATAAAAATAGGAAAAGAAGAAATTAAATTATCACTATTTGCAGATGATATGATTCTATATCTAGCAGACCCAAAAGGCTCTACAAAGAAACTATTAGAGCTAATAAATGAATTCAGCAAAGTGGCAGGATTTAAAATCAACACGCATAAATCAAAGGCATTCCTGTATATCAGCGACAAATCCTCTGAAATGGAAATGAGGACAACCACTCCATTCACAATATCTTCAAAAAAAATAAAATACTTGGGAATCAACCTAACAAAAGAGGTGAAAGACTTATACAATGAAAACTACAGAACCCTAAAGAGAGAAATAGAAGAAGATCTTAGAAGATGGAAAAATATACCCTGTTCATGGATAGGCAGAACTAACATCATCAAAATGGCGATATTACCAAAAGTTCTCTATAGGTTTAATGCAATGCCAATCAAAATCCCAATGGCATTTCTTGTAGAAATAGAGAAAGCAATCATGAAATTCATATGGAAAAATAAAAGACCCAGAATAGCAAAAACAATGCTAAGCAAGAAGTGTGAATCAGGCGGTATAGCGATACCAGACTTCAAACTATACTACAGAGCAATAGTAACAAAAACAGCATGGTACTGGTACCAAAACAGGCGTGTGGACCAATGGTACAGAATAGAGGACACAGAAACCAATCCACAAAACTACAACTATCTTATATTTGATAAAGGGGCTAAAAGCATGCAATGGAGGAAGGATAGCATCTTCAACAAATGGTGCTGGGAAAACTGGAAATCCATATGCAACAAAATGAAACTGAATCCCTTTCTCTCGCCATGCACAAAAGTGAATTCAAAATGGATCAAGGAACTTGATATCAAATCAGAGACGCGCCGTCTAATAGAAGAAAAAGTTGGCTACGATCTACAGTCGGTGGGGTCGGGCTCCAAATTCCTCAATAGGACACCCATAGCACAAAAGTTAATAACTAGAATCAACAAATGGGACTTACTCAAACTAAGAAGTTTTTTCTCAGCAAAAGAAACAATAAGAGAGGTAAATAAGGAGCCTACATCCTGGGAACAAATCTTTACTCCTCACACTTCAGATAGAGCCCTAATATCCAGAGTATACAAAGAACTCAAAAAATTAGACAATAAGAGAACAAACAACCCAATCAACAAATGGGCCAAGGACCTGAACAGACACTTCACAGAGGAGGACATACAGTCAATCAACAAGTACATGAAAAAATGCTCACCATCTCTAGCTGTCAGAGAAATGCAAATCAAAACCACCCTAAGATACCATCTCACTCCAGTAAGATTGGCAGCCATTATGAAGTCAAACAACAACAAGTGCTGGCGAGGATGTGGGGAAAAGGGTACACTTGTACATTGCTGGTGGGACTGCAGATTGGTGCAGCCAATTTGGAAAGCAGTATGGAGATTTCTTGGAAAGCTGGGAATGGAGCCACCATTTGACCCAGCTATTCCCCTTCTTGGTCTATTCCCTAAAGACCTAAAAAGAGCATGCTACAGGGACACTGCTACATCGATGTTCATAGCAGCACAGTTCACAATAGCAAGACTGTGGAACCAACCTAGATGCCCTTCAATAGACGAATGGATAAAAAAAATGTGGCATTTATACACAATGGAGTATTACTCTGCATTAAAAAATGACAAAATCATAGAATTTACAGGGAAATGGATGGCATTAGAGCAGATTATGCTAAGTGAAGCTAGCCAATCCCTAAAAAACAAATGCCAAATGTCTTCTTTGATATAAGGAAAGTAACTAAGAACAGAGTAGGGACGAAGAACAGGAGAAGAAGATTAACATTTAACAGGGATGAGAGGTGGGAGGGAAAGGGAGAGAGAAGGTAAATTGCACGGTAATGGAAGGAGACCCTCAGGGTTATACAGTGGAGGGGGTAGAGAGAGAGGAGGGGAGGGGAGGGGAGAGGTGGGGAGGGGGGAGGGTGGATGATGGGAAAGGCAGCGGAGCACAACAGACACTAGTATGGCAATTTGTAAATCAATGGATGTGTAACTGATGTGAATCTGCAATCTGTGTATGGGGTGAAGGTGGGAGTTCATAACCCACTAGAATCAAAGTGTGGAATATGATATGTCAAGAAATTTGTAATGTTTTGAACAACCCACAATAAAAAATTAAAAAAAAAAAAAAAAAGATTTACAAGCAACAAAGAATTTTGGTGAGAATATGCATAAAAAGGCACACTCATACATAGTTGTAGGAACTGCAAAGTGGTGCAACTACTCTGGAAAGCAGTATGGAGACTCCTTAGAAAACTTAGAATGGAACCATGCTTTAACCCAGTTATCCTACCTCTGCTTAAACCCAAAGGTCTTAAAATCATCATACTACAGTGACGTGGCCTCATCAATGTTAATAGCAGCTCGATTTATGATAGGTAAACTATGGAACCAGCCTCGGTGCTCTTCAACAGATGATGAATAAAGAAGATGTGGTACACAATGGAATACTATTCAGCCATAAAAAAGCAATAAAATTATGGGATTTTCTGGTAAGTGGATGGAACTCGAGACTATCATGCAATGTGAAATAAGCCAGTCCCCCCCAAAAAAAAACAAAGGCAAAATGTTCTTTCTGAAATGCTAAGTAACAATAAGGGGGTGTTTGGTCAGGGAAGAATAGAAGTACTTTGGATTAGACAAAGGGGAATGAAGGGAAGGGAGATGGGATGAGAATAGGAAAGACAATAGAGTGAATTGTATATTACTTTTGTATATGCCTATATGATTACACTACCAATGTAATTCTACATCATGTACAACCAGAACAATGAGAAGTTATACTTCACATATGTATAATATGTCAAAATACATTGTACTGTCATGTATTGCTAATAAGAACAACAACAAAAAAATGCTTTCTGAAAGAACCATTGCAAAACTTTGAAAATTATCAACTCTTTTATCCAAACATCAAATGTACATTATATGATTTTATTATTCATTGCCTTTCATCTATATATTCTTTAATTTTTAAAGCTAAGGGATTTATATCAGAAATTACTCATTGAAGGAACCCATTATTCACAATTGAAATTTCAGGAATTTTTTTCCTCCTAATTTAATGAAATATTGTCACTCTAAAAAATGTCTTTTATGCAGGTTTCAGTATTCCCTGAAGACTAGGAAAAGCTTTAGAAGACAAACATCAAATGAAATCTGATCTGCAGGCAATCAGAATCTTGTCTTGCTCTTCATGTTGATATAGTCAGAAGAATTAGTAAAGAATCAAGACATCATTTTACAACAAAGAATTTTATTATGAATGCAACTTTATTATATGTTGGTTTATTAGCCTAATTTTAAATTATCAATGACATTTTTCTTTCATATCTTTGAGCATTTTCTTTCTTTTTTTGTCATCTTTAGATCTAAGGCAATTCTCCCTGGTTTTCTTCTCCTCCCTTGTTAATGGTAAATTGCTACATTGGCGATATCTGTCATTGACAAGAAAATGAATCACTATATCCAACTTATTTTTGTTCTTCCAGATTGGCTAAAAACACAAATTCAAGAGATTAATCCTATTTATTCAGTTAAGTCTTCACTTTCTCATTTGCATTGTTATAAAATGTACTTTTACTTAAGTTTATGCCATGGGGTTATAGAAACAAAGAGCCATAAGATGATATGACATAACATCATAAAGAATAAATTACATTAGAAAAACATGGAAAATAATATGACATTCTGTTATGTTGATTTTATTTTATATTAACATTGCAACAAATATTGAAATAGCTCGAATTAAAATAAAATTTGCTGTATACTCACTTGGAGTGGTCTACTCTCAACTGAAGCTCTATTATTTCTATTAAAATATTCACTTTACTTCAGAGATGGGAATAATTCAAATAAAAATATGAGAGCTGTTAACCTAGATAAAAGCATTTATTAGATAGTAAACTATTGAGAATAAAAGAAATTCAATTATCAGTGTTATCTTTCATGTACACTTGCATTACATTTGTATTTTACTTAAACCCATCAACTTCTTTTTCAGTTTTTGATGACAATTTAAAATATGCTAATAATACACACTAATTTAAGGTTAATTTTTAAAATAATTTAAATGATACTCATAATAAATAATAAAAATAATTTTAAAATATGATGATAATAAATAATAAATGTTAGGATGAAGACAAGATTAATTCATTTTATGACCTTCATTTTAAAAATATGAAACATAGCACATTTTTTCAAATGAAAAAAACCTTATGCATAAGAGAAAAATTACACAGTAGATAAACCTCTCCTGGACTGAATTACATAAAAATCTTTAAAACTCTCTTACTGTCTAGAATCTACAAAAATTTTGAGAGATGTCAGTATTAGACATCACTGAAATTGGAAGCAAAAGTGGTCCTTACAATTGGATAATTGAAAATCTATCGAAAAAGCAATCCAATCCCTATATACTTATACTCATTTGTACATACTCTACAACAGATTGGAGGATTTTTCAAGGGGTGGAGAGTGAATTACCCAATCATCAGGCAGATCTTAGGCCAGGCTATTGTGCTGTTAAAAAGTGACTAAGTGGAGTTTATACAATGGATCAGGAGATTCATAGTTCCCTAATCCGAAGTTCTCAGAATTTTGAAGCTACACTCAAAATTGTGTAGTATTTAATGATAATTAAAATGCTATCATTTGTAAATTTTTGAATTCTAACTGCTTCTAGTGCATAGAAATATGATTCCTATTTTTGCAAGCAAGGATCCAGAAAGTATCATGCAGTGACTTTTTCTACTTAAAATTTCTCATGCATACTCTGGATTTATTTTAATCATAATTTATATCATCTCCTTTCAATCATTATTTTGCTTCGTACATATTATTATGATCTTAGTTGTATAATAATTTAGAAATTTATAATTTTCTTTTCTTTATAACTAGAAATTTACACAAGTATGATCTATTCTACTTGTCTTGTAATATATAAATATATATTTATATAATATAAATATATTTTCTTAATTCACTGTATTTGATATAGTTATATTATCATTCTTTTGGCACAACTTATCATACTCTATAATTTCTATTTTTCCATACATTTTTATATTAAATATATCTGCAATAAGCTGTAGATAGTTGAGCATTATTTCTAGCCATTTTGCAAAACTTTTTGTTTTAATTTGGCCATTTAATTTTGATGTGATCATAAACATTTGGGAGTTTAAATCTACCTATCTAGTGAATCCTATGTTGCCGTCTGTTTTCAAAATTCCATTATCTTCTCATTCCTATTTCTTTCCATGTATTTTCTTTCAACCTATTTTCCATTTTTTTCCTGAAGTTATCTTATTGCTGTTGTGTGCACACATTTAGTTCTTAATTGGCATTATTAGTGTTACGTCGGCTGTAATTGCTATTTCACTTTACTCTCTGCTATAATTGAATTTATTTTTTTCTGCCCAAATTCCAATTTTTCATTTTATCCTTGAATATAGTAAGCATTTTTATCCATTCATTTTCCTTTGTAATTGAATTCTTGCCCCCCCCCCCAAAAAAAAAAAAATAACTGAGGACACCATCAAAGTAAGATTCAGTCTTTAGCCTACAATATGTCCTTCCTACACAGTCAGATACTCTCGATTAAAACAAGTCCAAAATATGAGGTTTGTTTTTCTGAATAAGTATACCCTTTCACAGATCAAGACGTATATTTTGAGTTGAAAAATGCCTTTAAGTAAAATTGCTTTTATATTTTGTATGGCTTTTTTTTGTCCTCAGTGAGTAGGTTGATTTGTAAAATTAAGTTCAGTTTGTTAGTGCATATTTAAGTGAGCAGACAAACAAAAATGGTGAGAATAGAGGAACTATACGATATATGTGAACACACACACATTCTTGTTTAAAAACAAATCGACATATTCAATTCTTTTGAAGGAAGCAGAAACTGCAAGAAAAAAAATTAAAGGAAATATATGTCACTATAATTAAAGAGCAATCAGGAAATGAGCAAAACACAGATATCATAAATTAAATGTTAGCAACAAAATTTAAATCTAATAGAAATTCTGAGAAATGAAGTTGGAAAATTCCCCCAGTAAGTTAATAAAGCACAGACAGAAGACAGAAAAAAAACTTCCCAAAAGATGTGGAAAAAAAATATACAGAATTGGGGCTGGGCTGTAGCTCAGTAGCAGAGCACTTGCCTAGCATGTTTGAGGCACTGGGTTCGATCCTTAGCACCATATAAAATAAAGACATTCTGTCGAACTACAACTATAAAAATAAATAAGTAAATAAATAAATAAAATTAAAACAAACAAACAAATAAACAAAACCTAGAAAATTGATCCAGAAAAAAATGTGAAAAAATAGATCAGAAAAAATGTAAAGGGGAAAATAATTATGATGATGATGATGATGATGATGACGATGACAATAAGAATTATTTAACTTTTGTTTTAGTTTATAAATGAAGAATGCTATAAAAAGCTTTATTCCTAAACACATACAAAACAAAAAAACAAAAAATTCTAGCTAGACTGCAATTAAACAGCTGAATTCATCAGAAAACTGAACTCACAGGACAACTGTAATTAAACTATGACATTTGGAAGTGAGCCCTGAAAGACACCTGAAATTAAAAATAGGCACTGGGCATTTGCTTAACTTAGACAAATCCTAAATGTATGGCCTATGAGCCAGGAAGTGGATTCAACTAAAAATCATTGATGAATTGTTAAAGGCCAATATGGGTTAGGGTGAAAATATAAAACCATTTGGAGAGAGAGACATATCAGGATTCACAAACATCTGTGGGTCTTTTACTTTAGGACATATCCTTGACCCATCCCTCCATATATGTTCACAGGGATGATGAAGGAGAATCCACTGAAAGCTTTTGCCATACTGCTAACTAGAAAGTGGAGTACCACTCACTTCTAAAACTCTACATAGAGCAACCTATTGTATCCTCCCTAATTTTTCAGACAAGGGTCACTAAAATCTGAGACCTGGCAGGCACAGGTGAAAGTGCATAACCACAAAGAAAAACAATGCTGTCCTTATTGGAGATGAGCATAATATGCTAGAAGCATAAGTACATCTGAAGGAGATGCCAAAACAGCTGAGAAGATGCCACACTGCAGAGACTTAGATTGTCAGTGCCTTCATAAGTTTGAGACTTAAACAGAACAAACAAAAATACCCCCACACTTTTAAAACCACATTCATAAGTATTAAAGTATCAAATCAAAATAATAATAAAAAATAGCTGGAGAGAACTCCAAGGGACAGATTCTAGGTATCATCACAAGATAACACAAAGCCTTAGAGACACAAAACCAAGATACATACATATGCACACACAAGGATGTCACACACAAGGTTGTCAGGATCTCCTGGCCTACACATGTCAAACTTTTAGTAAAAAAATTATAAAGCATAAAAGATAGGACAACTGTATGTACCATATTCATACAATAAGACAAATGTTAAAAATAGCAATAAATAATAGGTTAAGCTGGGCATGGTGGTGCATGCCTGTAACCCCAGTGGCTAGGGCAGCTGAGGCAGGAGGATCTCAAGATAAAAAGCAGCCTCAGCAAAACCAAGGCACTAAGCAACTCAGTGAGACCTTGTCTCTAAATAAAATACAAAATAGGGCTGGGGATGTGGCTTAGCAGTTGAGTGCCCCTGGCTTCAATCCCTAGTACCCCCGCCAGAAAAATAATAATAGGTTAAAACCTAGTGGAACAATAATAAGAAAAAGACAACATGTGAAACTGAATAACTCATTTCAGCAGAAATATGTTAACTATAAGAAAGAAGCAAATGAAAAAATGATAGAATTTGGAGACACAGCAGAAGACATGAGTATATCTCAGGGAACACAAAGTAGGATTAATATAAAATTAACAAAACTTGGTATATAATAATTAATATACTGAAAACCAAAGACAATAAGAAAGCCTTGATTGTAGAAAGAGGACAAGATTTGAGAGAGAAATGGTAAGAAATTCAGCAGACATCTTGTAAGAAACAATGAAAGCAAGAAGATAATAGAGTAAGTCTTTTAAAGTGCTGAAAGGTTAAAACAAAACAAAAAGCTGTGCAGTCAAAATATTTCTCAAAAGGAAAGAAAAATGAAGCCCTTCTAAAATAAAAGGACATAAGAAACTTTATTATCAGAGGATCTTTTCTATAAGAAATGATACAGGAAGTTCTTCAGGCAGAAAACATATGATATAGGTGAAAAGTTTGCATATGCCCCAAAATAGGAATTGCATATTATCCATACTATTTGAATATTTCAAAAGGAAACTAATTAAAGTAATAATAGTAACTGTATTTTGTGTTTAAATATATGTAAAAGTGAAATTTCTGTCTTCACTGTCACAAGGGACTGAAGAGGATCACAAGATTCTGTTATAATGTCCACATCCTATTTTTGAAGTAATACTATCTGAAAAGTGATCTCAGATTATTTAATCATGTGTATTTTATAGGTATATTTTATATCGTAGGCAAACACTAAAGGAAAAAATATACATATATGATAAATCAATAAAAGATGACAAAATATAATCATAAACATGATTAAAATGGGGAAGGCAGGAAAAAAGACAAAAATAAATAAAACAAATGCAGCTAACAGAAGACAGCAAGCTTGATGATTATTTTAATCTAGATATGTTGGTAAGTACCTTAGCTATGAAATCCCACCCCCCTTAGGAATTGAACTCAGAGGCACTTAACCCCCAAGCAACATCCCGAGCCCTTTTTATATATTTTATTTAAAGGCAGAGTCTTGC